CTTAACCGGACAACACTTCTTTTTAAACCTCTCAATTCTCAAAAATGGCAGGAAACCAAATGAAGGGTTTAAACCTCTTTTATATACTTTCCCAAAAGGGAAGTCGGTTAACTCACCATGCCACGTGCATGCATTCAAACCACATATATATATATATATATATATATATATATACACTTATGCACCCATGTACTTCACCTTACTTGCATACATACATATATACACATAACATATATCATGTATGCGCGCACACACACACACACACACACATATATATATATATATATCAATATATATATATATATATATATATATCCAAATATCAATTTACATACCGACATGTAACAAATTATCATGCTATCACGAAAATCATTTAGTCAAATATTCACGTATAAATTTACCTTGGATAATAACCAGGATCTGGTTATCACAGTTTTTTACCAATATGACAAAAGTGAGGAGCGACGATGGACGAGATACTAACGTTGTCAGAGTTAGGTGAATAAATTTAATCTATGTATATATGTACGTGTTAGAATTGAGAAATACATAAGATGATTAAAATTTTAAAAATCAAAATATGTTGTATTGTTGATTAAACTTTAATTAATAAATAATTTAAAAAAATAAGTCAGTATGGTGCAATATTACAAGACATCTAAGAATCGTACCAACCAAGTTAAAATAGTTGATACGGTACTACCAACTAATTTAATTGGTACCAATTAATGTAGAGATAGAAAATGAGGTTGAGTAGGGATTTGCATAGCTTTTGGTGTTTATTTTTTATGTATTTTCATATATATTTTTATTTCATTATTATGTTATTCTAGCGTTGTATTTGTACCCAGTGGTTTTGGTTGAATTTTAGGTCGTTATTGGTTTTCAGGATGCAATTTTTAAGCGAAGAAACAAGATGAATTTTAACGTCTTTGGGCTCAAGTAAGCATGCATTGATAGTTTGATACCATAATGAGCCATCAGTGGCGAGCTCAACGCATATTTATAACTACCAAGTGATGTTAGGTGTACGCAAGTATCAAAACAAGCAAAACGGCAAAACCATGTTTATGCCACCTTTATCCAATTTACACTTCTACTGTTGATTATGCCACCCCTATCCAATTTATACCTCTCCTGCCGATATTTTGATAAATAGATACTATTTTCACAATTGATAATACAATATCAAAAACCCAATTATGCTAACAAATAGCAAATAGTAATATTCGAAAACACCAAATTCAAAACCCAATAGGTTTCTTATCAAAAGCATTTCAGATAAAGCTTTTGAAAGAAAACTCATATTGATCACAATTAGACGGTAACTTCTAACCGGCAACAAGTTCGGTATTTGAATATGAAAAGATGTCTTCTTCTTCTTCTTCTTCTTCTTCTTCTTCTTCTTCTTCTTCTTTTTGTTCGAAACCAGAGATCAAATAACTCACCAACTTTCTTCTTATCTCCCCAAAAATATCCCAAGTAAAGAAAATAAAACATATATATATATATATATATAGACTTGGGATCATGTGAGACCCAAGGTTTTTCGTAAGACCAGTAAGACCAATTCTCAACCCTTGAATTAGATCTATAATCTGAACATTCATAATCATAAAATTGCCACGAAACTTCTCAATAATCACAAAATTGCCACCGTGCAACTTTAGACCATTAGATTATTAGCTTATAAAGTTGATCAATGAACATAAATTGGTCCTACGGGTCTCATGAAAAACCCTTGGTCTCACATGAACCCAACCCTATATATATATATATATATATATATATATAACCTATAATAAATAAGGATCTTTTGGGACACGTGTCCCTTTCCTGTGCGCCAGTTACTGGGTTTTGCCGCCTTGAACATGAATGTGGACACAGTTTTCCCTTTCAGTACAAACATACGTGTGCCTTTGCCTCGTGTCAACCTACACGGTTACTGAACGTGGTCATGTATAAACCGCCGATGCAGGGTAATATGCGGTAGATATTGCGAGATTCTGATTTTCAATTCCAACCGACCATCATATCGTCTGTCAGTGCCTTCGTATGCAGGATTGCAGTGAGGACTCTGTTGGTGGTAAATTCTGTTCGATTTATCATGCAGTCTGCTGGATTGCAATAGTTACACATTCATTCATCAGATTTAATTATAAAGTTCTTTGGATGATTACAGAATTTGGGTGTGTTGATATTCTTATGTAGAAACATTGCACTACGTTGAGCCTCTCCTTCTCTTTCCTTGCCTCATATAGGTGTAATGACATGAAGAACGCCATTGGTTATAGTAACGTTGAGAGGGACATAAGATACTCAGTGACTCTGCCACAAAAGTAGTCTTCCTGTTTTGTATTTGTGATGATTTTTGTGATTGCATTTTGTTTTGTGACAAGGAATACTCAGAGGCTCTGTATCATAAGTAGTATTCCTGTTTCCTATTTGGGTTTTTTTTGTGATTGGATTTTATTTTGTTCGATAAAGTACTAATTGGTGAACGTATTGTCACATATTTTTATGTTGTTGATATTCTTATGTATGAACAGTGCACTACGTTCAGCCTCTCCTTGTCTTTTATTGCTGCATACTGGTGTAACCACATGAAAAATGGGATTAGAGATGTCTTGGAAAAGGAATTGAGAAGCAGAAAAAGGATTGGATTTTGTTTTGTGCAATGATGTATTAATTGGTGTATGTATGGTTACGTATTGGTTCTTTTTGTCGTGTAAGTGTTTCCGTGCTTCATACAGAGCTACACAAACGCTCTCCTCCATAAGTAGTATTCCTGTGTCGTATTTCAGATTGTTTAGGTGATTGGATTTTGTTTTGTGCAATGATGTATTAATTGGTGAATGTATAGTTACGTATTGGTTCTTTTTGTCGGGTAAGTGTTTCCGTGCTTCATACAAAGCTACACAAACGCTCTCCTCCAGAAGTAGTATTCCTGTGTCGTATTTCAGATTGTTTTTGTGATTGGATTTTGTTTTGTGCAATGATGTATTAATTGGTGAATGTATGGTTACGTATTGGTCGTTTTGTCGTGTAAGTGTTTCCGTGCTTCATACAGAGCTACACAAACACTCCGCTCCTCCTGCAGACCTTAATAAAGGTTCTCCACTTGTCACGTCCTCACTGCAATCCTGCATACATTCTACATACATAGCTACGTAGATGCTCCCTACTTAGGTGTTCATAAAGACCTCTGTGCATACATGTTGTACGGTGAGGTTCTGCTTATTAGTCTGGACCCTTTCTTCAGACTTATAAATCTGAGCTTCATCCTTCGTAAAATCTGGTAGGTTATTTAAAAATATATTCTTCTAAGTGGTAGTCACACAGAGGTTTAGAAAGCCTCTGCATGTATGGTGCAGCGTTGCATGCTGCCTCCGTGTTGGTTGTTTTGTCTTATAAGTGTCTCCGTGCTTCATACAGACCTCCACAGACGCTCTGCTCCTCGTCTAGACCTTAATAAAGGTTCTCCACTTGTCACGTCCTCACTGCAATCCTGCATACGTTCTACATACAGAGCTACGCAGATGCTTCGCACTTACGTGTTGATAAAGACCTCTGTGTGGACATATTTTACGGTGAGGTTCTGCTTATTAGTCTGCACCCTTCCTTCAGACTTATAAATCTGAACTTCCTCCATTGTAAAATCTGGTAGGTTATTTAAAAATATATTCTTTAAAGAGGTAGTCGCACAGAGGTTTAGAAAGCCTCTGCATGTATGGTGCAGCGCTGCATGCTGCCTCCGTGTTGGTCGTTTTGTCTTATAAGTGTCTCTGTGCTTCATACAGACCTGCACAGATGCTCTGCTCCTCGTCTAGACCTTAATAAAGGTTCTCCACTTGCCATGTCCTCACTGCAATCCTGCATACGTTCTACATACAGAGCTACGAAGATGCTCCGCACTTACGTGTTGATAAAGACCTCTGTGTGGACATGTTTTATGGTGAGGTTCTGCTTATTAGTCTGCACCCTTCCTTCAGACTTATAAATTTGAACTTCCCCCGTCGTAAAATCTGGTAGGTTATTTAAAAATATATTATTCTAAGAGGTAGTCGCATAGAGGTTTATAAATCTGAACTTCCTCTGTCGTAATGTATTTCGGTGATCGCAAAAACTTCTAAACACATATTTATTTCACAATTAAATGTAAGAGTTGGAGGCTAACTCTGACTTGTTTGGTTACAGACTTATACAATAACTTTCATACGTCGTTTGACACACGTACAATGTGCATTAACGTTTAAACTATGCAATATGGATCCAAAATAGTACTAAACATACTTAAGATTTTCGATTTACATTGTAAATAGTAATTCTTGATTGTCAATGTGAAGAGTTCCTTGAAACCAGTTACCGAATGTTAGTTTCAGGTGGTAATGTTATAACTTAATAGTTAAAAGTCTGAATAACATACTTGAACACTATACTGCATCCTTTTGCATAACATGGTAAACATATAAGTTGTTTTAAGTGATAATGTTATAACTTAATTTAAACATRTAACTTATAATACATTTAGGTCTTCCACGTAAATGAAGTATGTTATTTCGACATTTATATAATACAATCACTAATTGCAAGTGAAAACAAGATTCACCAAAACACTGTTTCTATGCAAAAGCTATAAAGAATTGAATGCTTCAAGGTTTTGAACATGTATATAAATCTTATACATTTTTATGCATAAAGACAAAGTCATATGTAAAATATGTTACAAAATGAAATGAATATATTTAAAGTCATATAAATAAATTATATAGCGCTTCCTTTCAGTTTATTAAATCGTCTGATGTCAAAGCTACTGAAAAGCATACTAAAAAGGAAATTTGTACACAATGACAATATGAATGACATATACACATTAAACATTGTATATACACATACTAACTCTTCTAGTAATACCTTAGTAGCAATCTTCTTTTTATAAAACGATTTGAAAGGAATGAAGTGTGGTTAGATGCAATCACCTTTTTTTCATAATAATAAAAAACAGAGTGATTGCATCAAATATGGCAATATCCCTCACAGATTACAAGTTATTTTCTTCTCTRCAGAGATCATTCATTCATTTTTTTCTTCCTTTAAGCCCTAATATTGTTTCATCTAACTTTAATCTGAAAATAGACACAAAATAAAGGAGACTCGGGTGTAGTGTAGAAATTTATTGGCAACCGTAAATGTCATATATTATTAAATATATACAAATATTTTTCAAAGTGACGGTTGAAATGACCTCCAAAGTTTTAAATAAATTTATACTTTTTTCAAATCCGGTAATTKTTGAAATAAAATATTCCCTCTCCTCTTCTTTCCACCATTTTCGACTCTTAAACTTCTCTTCTCCTTCTTCATTGCAAACCAGATATTCATGGAGGACTGTTTCATGTTCACTCCGATTAAACAAACGGAGAACAAAAGTTGTATAACAAAGGAGGTTCTGGCAATGTCAGAGAAGTTTTCTGATCAAGAAGAGTTTCCATTCCCAAAAGTTATCAGAATATCAATGATCGATCCCTATGCAACTGAGTCTTCAAAAATGAAGATGACCACATTTTTGAATGGTGGCGTGTAAAGAAGTATACTAATGAAATTWACATACAACCTTCAAGCAAACCTAGAATGATGCCTGTCAATGCCAATATGACGAAAACCAGAAACAGGCCATGTGCTGCAAATTTGAAGGAGAGAACTATCAAGAAGAAGAAAACTCCAGAGGATAATGTTAGAAAGTTCAGAGGAGTACGGAAAAGACGTTGGGGAAGATGGGCATCGGAGATTAAGGATCCGATTACACGCCAGCGGCTGTGGTTGGGAACATATGATACGCCAAAGGAAGCTGCCATGGTATATGATAATGCTGGCATCAAACTCCGTGGTGCTGATGCTATTACAAATTTTGTTTTGCCAACGGCTATAGAAAAACCACCCCCGACGAATATTACATCAATGTCCAACCATCATTCCAAACAAAAGTCACTGAAGTTTCCACTTGCAGATGCACCACCTTCGGATTATCAATCTTTTGATTCAATACAACTTGATGATGAAGTTGCATTCTTTGATGATTTTGGTATAACTCCTATGGCTCCTGGATTCATTTCTGAGACTGGATGTGGATCTCCCTCAACTTTAAAAATAGATAACTACTTTGAAGATATTTCAGACAGTACTTTAGAATTATGGTTTTCCTAAAATGACCGGAACTTATTTTACTTAGTTGTTGGAGTTGTTTAATTAAGTACTATTGTATTATTTTCTTAATATCGTATGAATACCTATGTTTGATTAACATTTTGTCGTCTGCCTGTTGTAAATGATCTTTTTTTACAAAATATATATACAATGAGTTGAACCATTTACAGAGTTTAAGTCTAAAGGCAGTTATTCGCGTACTCACGTAAGTGTCATAAATGCTGAATAGAAATCTGAATAGTAATTGTGGAATATGAGTGCAGATTTGTGATGAGTTGTATGTTTGATGTAACTTCTACCTTTGCCATACAACTCTGAATCTACCCATGACATCATATATCCAGATTTTCGTGTACATAAGCCAAAAGTCTGGAGATAGTCCTTCTAATTTAGTGACAAATATACATATCACAAAAGTTTCCTCTGTCTTGAACATGTTCAGGCGGTGAGAACTCTGAATTTCCATTTCAGAGAATAAGTTAAGATGCGTTCTCTGATTCGTAAGGAATGCTACCGTGTAAGACTGGAATACAATTATGCACTTACATAAAGACACACTCGTCCAGACTTGTATGTCCAGACTTACGACATTAAATACAATGGACCGAGACTTTGTTAGCTATAGAACAAATYAGAGTTGTTTTTAGATATGTCAAACATCAATTAAGCGACAAAAAAGGAGAATAAACGTGTAAAGGTAGAAATGCCACTTAAATAGATCCATTTGAACCGTAAGTGAACCTGTGTGTGTGGAGTGAAGGTCTGCGTACAACATTCAAACGTTTTTAGGCCTTTTCATTAGCTCTGATTCAACAATCTGGTACATAACTTTGAAAAACGAACATTGAAACAAAAACTGATAAGCAGTTTCTTCATTTACGTTGTATTTAGACCATTAACTTACGGTTGCCACAACTGCCTCATCTGCGTAATGATTTGCTTCTTGTGAGATTATTTTTATCACATACAATTTCCATTTCCTACAACAGTAAAAAAAGGCATTCTTTAACACAATTGTCTAACCGAATCCATTTTCTCATGGTTGTTCATTCTAATGTTGTATCATGTACTAACTTCATGTAATACTTTCTTGTTGAAAAATTAATTTGCTTGCATATCTTTTAAAAAAGAAATTCGATGGATTCTAGAGAAAGGAGAAAATTTAGAAAGACGGTTTTGAATAGAAGTAGACAATCAGTGAGATCTACATCATCAAATGTCGAAGGTAACTAATTGAAAAACATTTTGAATTATATTTTCATTGAGACAAATATTACCTGCTCAGGAATTCTATGGAAGTCACTTTTTGAAATTAATCCTTTATTGTAACTTTTTACAGATGATATCTCAAATTATGGTGGGCAATTACAATCTTCATCTGGGRGGAATAATATTCCCTACCCTGATGAGCATATGGATCCAAACAAATGTCTACAATTTCAACATACAAACTTGCCACATTCTTCTTCAGATATGACTATCACAAATCCATTATCTGATAGTCCTAATGGTATGTGTAATTTCTTGTACACCTCATTTTTAAAGCAATGCTTCATACAAATTTTCAAAACTAACAAATGTCTTACATTATTTAAATTTGTATATTTTAAACAACAAGTGTTCATGTAAACAAACGCTATTGGTTACGTTCTTCTGCCAATTCATCCATCCCTTTATCGACAATAGATCAAGCTTCTTCTATGGTTCGGTTATCAGCAGGGAATCATAGATTACAAGGAAGGAATATAAATGTAGCTGATATAGAAATCGTTGATATTACATCAGATAAAGAAGCGGACCATCCAGTAACCATTATAGACAAAATTGAAGGAATATTTGAAGGTAATTATTGAATTGTCAAATGTTTAATACTTTTAATTACTTATTACATTCAAATTTATTAAACAGAGTACTTGGATCACGGTGATCAAAGTGTTATTTGTGAATGCTGTGATGCAAAACTATGGAAAGATGAAGCTCTTCAAAGGAAAAAATGCGGGACGAAAACAAGTTACTCCCTTTGTTGTCTTTATGGCAAGGTTCAACTTCCAAAAGAGAAAGAGATGGATTCTTCTTACGTAAATCTGTTTCGCTATGTGGACTCAAAAAGCAAATACTTTATGAAGAACATTCGTCGTTATAATTCAGTGTTCTCATTTACAACAATGGGTGGCAAAATTGATACTTCCATTAATAGTGGAAATGCACCATATATATACAGGCTTAATGGTCAAAACTACCATAGGATGGGTAGTCTTTTACCAACAGATGGAAGAAAACCGAAATTCTCTCAACTGTACATATATGATACCGAAAATGAAGTTGCAAATACACATAGTTCATTTAGGTATGCATTCATCCTTATTAAAATTTCTATTAATAGATTTACTTCAGTTACAGTGTATGGTTATATTAATGGTCACTCTGATTTTATGTTTGTTATTATTTACTTAGTGAAAAACAAGAGACTTCTGCATCAAATTCTGATTCCCTTGATATTGAGATTATTCAATACTTAAAGGACATACTAGATCCAAAAAATGTGTTAGTGAAGTCTTATAGAATTGCAAGAGATTGTTTTGAATGCTACCCGGATGTCAAGGTAAAGTTACGATTGATTGAAAAAAGAGAAAAGGATGGAAGAACATATAACCTTCCAACTGCTTCAAAAGTTGCAGCTTTAATTGTTGGAGATGATGGTGGTACAATTGAAAAAAGAGATATCATTGTACAACATCAGACAGGTTATTTACAATCAATAAGTGAATTACATCCTTCTTATCTTCCTCTTCAATACCCGTTGTTATTCCCATATGGAGAAGATGGTTACAGATTTGACATTCCTCATAGAGAGATAACATCTTCAAGAAAACGTAAAATAACAACTGTAACAATGAGGGAGTTCTTCGCCTTCAAACTTCAAGATAGAAGAAATATGTTTTCATTACTTCTAAATGCAAGGAGGCTTCTACAGCAATTTATTGTTGATGGATACACAATGATTGAAATTGAGAGGTTACATTATATACGTAATCAGCAGAAACTCCTAAGGTGCAAGACATATGATGCTCTATGCAATGTACAAGAAGAAGGAGAGTGTGATCTTTCAAACATTGGACAACGTGTTATACTACCTTCTTCTTCACCGGTGGAGCTCGGTACATGATGCAAAATTATTTGGATGCAATGTCCCTTTGTAAATGGTATGGATATCCTGACTTGTTTCTAACCATGACTTGCAATCCAAAATGGCCAGAAGTTAGAAGATTAATTAAGGACACATGCCTAAATCTAGACGACAGGCCTGACATGCTTTGTCGTTTATTTAAGATCAAGCTTGATGCACTTATTAGAGAATTAAAAGAGAATGAGTTATTTGGAAAAATTCAAGCAGGTATGTTCAATTTATGATAACAGTATGAACATATTTCTTTATACTTTTAGACTTACTTTATTAATTTAAATTGTAACTTTTTTGTAGTTGTTTATACGATTGAATTTCAAAAGCGAGGCTTGCCTCACAGTCATATCTGTCTGTTTATGCATCGAGATTTCAAGCTACCGATTGTTGAACAGATTTATCCCTATCATCTCAGCTGAAATCCCAGACAAAAACAGTGATCCAGAGTTGTACTTACTTGTAAAAGAGTTCATGATGCACGGACCATGTGGTGAAGGAAACATTAATTGTCCATGCATGGTTGAAAGAAAGTGTTCAAAAAAATATCCAAAGAAATTTTCTAAACACACTTCAATTGATGTTAATGGTTATCCAGTATACCGCAGACGAGTGGATGGACGTTTTATTGAGAAATCATGTGTTAAACTAGACAACAGAAATGTCGTTCCATATAATAAATATCTGTTGAAAAGATATCAAGCCCACATTAATGTTGAGTGGTGCAATCAGACATCTTCAATCAAGTATCTGTTCAAATACATCAACAAGGGTCCAGATAGAGCTACTGTTGCAATTGTAGAAAACAGTGATGATGCGGTCACTGTCAATGTTGTTGATGAGATAAAACAGTATTACGATTGTAGATACCTTTCTGCATGTGAAGCTTCATGGCGTATTTTTGGATATGATGTTTATTATAGGACTCCTTCTGTTTTAAGACTTCTTTTTCATCTTCCGGGACAACAACAAGTAGTGTTTGGTGCTGAAGATAATATTGATAATGTACTAAACAGACCATCTGTGGCGTCCTCAATGTTCATATCTTGGATGCATTGTAATCAAATTTATCAAGAGGCACGAGAACTCACTTACGTTGAATTTCCTACAAGGTTTGTGTGGAAATTGGACGAACGATGTTGGGATCGAAGGAAAAAAGGGTTCTCAATTGGACGGATTCATTCAGTTTCTCCTACTGTAGGATAAGGGTATTACTTATGAATTCTATTGAATAAAGTCAAAGGTCCTAAATCATTTGAAGACATTCGTACGGTTAATGGAAAAACATTTCCGACTTTCAGAGATGCATGTTATGCGCTTGGGCTTTTAGACGATGACAAGGAATATATTGAAGCCATTGAAGAAGCAAATTTAACTGTATCTGGTTTTTATCTCCGTTTCTTATTTGCAACCATGCTGCTTTCAAATAGTTTATCTAGACCTGAATGTGTTTGGGAAAAAAACACGGCAATACTTAGTAGATGGGATTCTGTACAATCAACAAATTGCTTTACAGTCAGCAGATATGTTAATTCTATATCTTAAGCATAGACTTACACAACTATTATCAAAAACTATGATTGTTATTGAATTGTATCTACTTTTAATTTCATATACTAACTATGTAAATTTATATTATCTTTAACAGATTTATCTATTAATGAAGAACAAGTGAAGAATCTAACTTTGTTCGAAATTGAAAAGATTCTGCTTCGTAACAATTCGACGTTGAAAAACTTCAGCACACTGCCTTATTTTGATAATGACTCGCTTGAATCCTCAAACAACCGTTTAATTGCAGAAGAACTGGATTATAATCATTATAATTTAGGAKATGAGTTTCACACCCTTGTAACTGCTCTTACAGATGAGCAAAGAGGTGTGTATGATGAAATCATGACTGCAATTGTAGAGAAAAATTCGGTGTATTTTTTGTTTATGGACATGGAGGAACAGGCAAAACATTCCTATGGAAGACCTTGGCTGCATCAATAAGATCTAAAGGAGAAATTGTTTTAAATGTTGCTTCCAGTGGTATTGCATCTTTGCTTCTTACCTGTGGCAAAACTGCACACTCTCGTTTTCACATTCCGCTCATTCTGAATGAAGATTCTCTTTGCCAAATGAAGCCAGATAGTGATATTGCAGGCTTAATAATGAAAACTACTTTGATAATTTGGGATGAGGCACCAATGGTTCATAAACATGCATTTGAAGCATTAGATAGAAGTATGAATGATATTTTCAATGCTCAACGCRGTGGTGACTCAGAAATGATTTTTGGGGGTAAGATAATTGTTTTTGGAGGCGATTTTAGACAGATTCTGCCAGTTATTCCCAATGCAAGTAGACAAGACATTGTAAATGCATTATTAAGTTCATCTTACATTTGGGAAAAATGCAAAGTCCTAAAGTTGACTAGAAACATGAGGCTAACTGCAAACAGTTAAACTTTAGAAATTGAACAAACATGGGATTATGCAAAATGGATTTTGGACTTAGGAGAAGGAAAAGTTGGAGGTGATAATGATGGTGAAGCAGTTATTGAGATACCTCATGATCTTCTCATTACCGATTACATTGATCCTATATCTGCATTAATTGAGTTTGTCTATCCCTCAATTCTTGAAAACGTCAACAACTCAGCTTATTTTCAAGAACGAGCAATACTTGCCCCAAAAAATGAAGTAGTTCAAGAAATAAATGAATGCTTGTTGTCATTGTTTCCAGGAGAAGAAAAGGAGTACTTAAGTTCATATACATTATGTGAATCGGAGAAGCTTCATGATGAGTTCGATAAAACTTTGTACTCTCCTGATGTTTTAAATGGTCTTAAATTATCAGGAATACCAAATCATAGGATTCTACTAAAAGTTGGTGTCCCTATCATGTTACTGAGGAATATCGATCAGAAATCTGGATTATGTAATGGTACTAGACTGCGTGTGTTGACATTGGGAAATCGAGTAATAGAAGCACATGTCATATCAGGAAGCAATATTGGAAGTCGTACATTCATTCCAAGAATGTCCTTAACACCTACAGACAAAAGGATACCATTCAAAATCTGGATTATGTAATGGTACTAAACTTTGTACTCTCCTGATGTTTTAAATGTTTTGCCATGACCATTAATAAGAGCCAAGGACAATCATTATCAAAAGTTGGTTTATTTCTAAGACAATCGGTCTTCACGCATGGTCAGTTATATGTTGCTTTATCCAGAGTCAAAAGCAAGAAAGGTTTGAAAGTACTAATTATGAATAACGAGGGCATTGCTGACAGTAAAACAACCAATGTTGTATACAAAGAAGTGTTTAGTAATATATGATACATTGTTCTTATTTTATTAATGATTTACATATTTAACTTATATTTGTTCAATTCATATTGTATTATAAATGTTGTTTTGCAAGTTCATCTTATCAGTTCATATTATTATTAATTCCTAGGAGGCTTATTTTTCATTTATAGTCTGCATTACAATTATGCGATCATAAAGAATCTGCATGTGCAACGTAGATTCTCTCAGTCGGACTCTGTCCTTCATACAGAGCTTTACAAAGGGACTGCATATAATAAATACAGTCTTTGGCCAAACTTCAGCAATTCATACAGAGTTCTGGAGAGGTAGTGCAGAAACCACGCAGGACCTCTATGCATTATTCCGTGGTTCATGCAGAGCTACACAACAGCTCTGCATCTACTATGCAGAAGTTATGTACACGGAAAAATTTTACAAATTTGAGGCATTGGCTAATTTTATCAATTAACTCTTCAAAAGAACTTCACACTTATAACCAGATTGGTCGTCGTGATTTACAAATCTTGCAACGCAGAATATTCTCCGTCGTAGACTCTGGAGTATTTCTTAGACCTTCTGTTTGCCAAGCCTCATTCATCATTCATACAGAGCTTAACAGAGCCTCTACATTTAGCTTTGCGGTTAATCTGAACCAGACAACGTGTTCCATGCAGAGCTGGACAGAGGTTCTGTACGTAAATGTTGGTCCCGAAAGGGTCTACAAGATAAGAAACAGTTTGTAGAAGGGGGGGATGAATACAAACACATAGTTTTCAAATTTAAAATATATATTGATAGA